GTATGAGTTTTGAATTTTTTTCAAAGAGACAATCATTTTGCATATTTTGTTTATTTTCAGGAGAACCTTAATTAAAGGTGGTTTTTGATTATATGTAATCTTCAATGATAATATGTCTCATATGACTCAGTTGATATTGTAGCTAGTCATTGAAATAAAGGTTTTACCCTGTCGGGTTTACCACTTTTAATATCCACATGGAAATATTGTAATACCCCTTTCTGAGGGATTTTGATGTATAATTATTTTTTGAAAGGGTTACTCCCCTTTCACACATTGTAAAAGTTTGAGTTACTTCCCTTTTGTTTCCAGGGATATTTTCATCTAGTATTAAGATTTTGATTGGCTACATTTGTAAAACATTTTTTTTATTTCATTGCCAGATTGGTTCCCTATGTATGTTTTTTGTGGAACCTATCTGTCACTTCCAAAAAGGGAGGGGATGTGACCTACTTAGGTCCAGTAATGTTTTATTTTGACATTGTCATAATACCATATATGGTTGATGGTGCAACAACCGGGTTTTTCCCACTGTCTTACTAAGAGTGTGTAAGACGCAGAAATTTTCCATCAAGATCTGATTGATTGATTCAGATCAGATGACCACCCCAACCAATGGCCACATGAGTTGAGGATAATCTCCCCTGTCGCCTAAGTCTATAACTAGATCGCCCACAGGCGACACGAGGCAGTCCATTCTGACCGGCAGTCCACCTTGATCAAGCAGTCCATCTTGACCAGGCCGTCCATTTTGTCCGGCAATAGATTCTGACCATTTGAACGTGAGAGAGCTTAAGTCCTGAGTGTGCTATGCATTCTTAAGTTGTTTAAGTATTCTAGTATTATATTACTTGAGGCCAAGTGATTCTTGATGCTATAGCAGTGTTGTGTGACCTGTGGCTATTTTTATAAAGTGTTAGAATCTGTCATAGTATTTTTTCTTACGCCTTGTAAGTTGGGTTTTGTTATTTTCTAAACTAAATATTTTATCTTGTTTAACCTTGTGTTCTGCCACAACTGTGTCCACTTATTAAAGGTTGTATGCAGATTGGATGAGTTGTTAACTTCAATAGTTTCACTAGTTTTCCCTAGACATCGAAATCGAGCCCTAGTGTGTTGTTGAGTTAGTGTTCATTCATTTAGGCTTTGCATATGACCCCAAGAAAGAATCCGGGGGCGTTCACCATCTATCTGGCTGGTAGATAGGTGTCCGTTACAAAATTTAATTAATGAAACGGTACTCAAGCTATCATATTTATAAACATGCTTACACGCAGACACACAGACACGGACAAAATCGCAAAACCAAATTTTTCCTTTTAGGAATGATATAAAACGTGATATTTGTCAAAATCTCTATTATCATTTTAGCATGAATGCAATGCATCCTTTATTTTCAGTCTATGGTAAAGAAGGGAAGTGAAACTGTCAAAATAGCTGTGAATTACAATACTTCCTGTGTACTTTTTTATACGAGTAAGTAGAAACAACATCACATTTTTACACCTCAGTATTTCATCATATACAAAGAATAGGAGTCCTATGTTAATCGGGAAAAATTCTAAATCCAGATTTATCAAAACTTAAGACAGCCTACCGTTTCAAATATGTTGATATGTTGTCTGTCTCTATCTGTCTGTCTGTCTGTCTGTCTGTCTGTCTGTCTGTCTGTCTGTCTGTCTGTCTGTCTGTCTGTCTGTCTGTCTGTCTGTATGTCTGTCTGTCTGTCTGTCTGTCTGTCTGTCTGTCTGTCTGTCTGTCTGTCTGTCTGTCTGTCTGTCTGTCTGTCTGTCTGTCTGTCTGTCTGTCTGTCTGTCTCTCTGCCTGCCTGCCTGCCTGTCTGTCTGTCTGTCTGTCTGTCTGTCTGTCTGTCTGTCTGCCTGTCTGTCTGTCTGTCTGTCTGTCTGTCTGTCTGTCTGTCTGTCTGTCTGTCTGTCTGTCTGTCTGTCTGTCTGTCTGTCTGTCTGTCTGTCTGTCTGTCTGTCTGTCTGTCTGACATATTACAGCTTTATCTTTTTTCTGCTATTGTACAACTGGAATGTTGAGTGAGGCTGGTATTTTGAGAGAGGTTGGTCTGTTTAGAGAGGCTGGTGTGTTGAGAAATGCTGGTGTCTTGGAGGGTAAGACTAGTTTGTTGAGAGATGCTGGTAGTTTGGTCAGTTAAGAGAGGCTGGTCTGTTGTATAGTATAGCTGGTATATTGAGAGAGGCTGGTCTCTTGAATGATACGACTGGTATGTTGAGAGAGGCTGTTATGTTGAGAGATGCTGGTATCTTGAAAGAATAAAACTGATTTGTGTAGGTAAGTCAGATTGGAATATTTTTTGACTAATAAAATTATTTTAACCATTTTGTTACTTGAAAGCATGAGATTGCTAGTTTGAGATTAAAAGTGTACTGACAAATAGCGATATTTGTTTTGCGTTTGAGATTTTTAGCGCAAGAAATAATAAGCGGTTTGTTCAAAAAATGTACCTCTATAATTATTATACAGATTTCTATAATATTTTCATGTATTATGGGGAATCATACTGGCTTTTGAAAAAAAAAAAATTAAAATTAATTTAAAAAAAAAACTGTAAAAAAAAAAAATTAAAAAAATAAAAAATAAATGTAAAAAAATAAAATTAATTTTTTGAGATAGACGGTTTGTGACCGAGGCCATCGATATGTGTGTAGTTGTGTGTACGGCGTTGTGTGTGTGGTTGTCCTTGTGCCCTAATTAAAATAACATATCTATAAAGATATTTCTAGTAAAAATAATTAGTTAATACTTTTTTTTACTGACACATAACACATTAAATAATACTTACAATTTCAATTCTATATCAATATCGAGGTAATGCTAATTACAAACTGTAAATAAGAAAGCTAAGTGTGTGAATCTTTGTCGTCTTGACAACTTTGTTACCTAAACATCAGTTCATTTCGGGATTTCCCGTGAAGCCATTTCAGTTTCAAATATAGTCTAGAGTATAGAGGAACCAAATAGAGAATTTACAGCCATCAATCCTACAACTAAAAGTACTGAGGTCAAATTAACGTAGGTAAACGATACATAAGTTGTTCCTATTTAATTAAGGTTAACAAGATTGATTATTTGGAGTTTATTTGATCATTTAATCGAAATTTCCGTTGACCCGAAGTAGTAATTTACGCTATTTCCGATTTCTTAAAAATACGCATGTGATTTTATAAAGCACTAATAATATTCCGCACTATTATGCACATATTATTTGAATATTTGGCGTTCACTTGGTGTGCAATTTTTTTTCTACTAAATTCTATTCTATTTTTAAAAGTTTAAGTAATTAAAAATGGATTACAATCCATAACAGAATAAATCAACACATGCATAAAAAACTAAAGGTTGGGTGTGGCGATTTGTGCCCTTGTGGCAAGGCCCCGGAAAATACGGAGCACGTCCTTCAGGAATGTTCTTTGTATAGCCAGGCACGAGTCACACACCGGCCCCTGCTCACCCCACTCAGGGAAAAATTATATGGGGAACCTGCTGATCTGGAGACCAGTAGCGTAGCGAGGGGGGGTTACATATGTCCCCGGGCGCCGACCTTAGGGGGCGCCAAAATGGGTTGGGAAAATAAATTGAAAGGTTGAGGGGGGTGCAAATCGAAAGTTTGAGGGGGGGTGCAAATGGAAATCTCGAGGGGGGGGGGGGTGCAAATCGAAAGTTTGAGGGGGGGGGGTGCAAATGGAAATCTCGAGGGGGGGGGGGTGCTAATCGAAAGTTTGAGGGGGGGGTGCAAATCAAAATCTCGAGGTGGGGTGCAAATAGAAAAGTTTTTCCCCGGGCGCCGGGAAGGGTCGCTACGCCTCTGCTGGAGACCATAGTCCGGTTTGTTCACGAAGTTGGACTTATTGTCTAAATCCTCCACCATATTCTCAATTTAGAACGAAGAAGAAGAAGATTAAAATCATGTCCATATGATTTGCATGAAAATGAAAAATTAACGAATTTAGATGACATGTATCTAACTTATTCCGACGCAGTAGGCCATGGAAGCCTGATCATAGCGAAAGCGTAATATTAACTTATGTAAGAGATGTCTGTAAAAAGGATGTTTAGCTTTATGTAATTCATATAGTTTCTCCAATGTGTTCGTAAACCATCACAATATGTTTTAAATGTGTGAACAGAAGTAAAGTAAATAAAGGAGAGTTTTTGACCTCGACATAATATAAATGCTGTGTGTGGTAAGCTCTTTGCCCAGTCGCCTTTACTTTCTCTACCATGAGTTAGGTAGCCATCAGAGCTGGCCGGGATGAGGAACCAGAATTCGAACTCGAGACTTTCGGGTAAGCAGCCTAGCGCTCTACCTCTTTGGCCACGAAGTCCCAAAATTTGTCATTATGTCACTTATAAAGTTTGTTTTGTACACGTAACTTTTTTGAGTGTCATCAAATAATAAATAAAAGTGTAAATATTATGTCAAAGTTGTGTTGATTACATTCATGTTAAATACTTTTAAATTCATTTTATGTTATCTGTTATGAAAATAAAAGTTGTTTTCTCTTAATCCTTATAAGACTGGTTCCCAAACTGTGGATCGTCGGGGTGATCGCTTTTTGAGAAATCGAAAATAGCTTAAATTACTACTTCCACTCAACAGAAATTACTAAACATTTGACTGAAGGCAGTGAATTAGATATTTTACTTACACGTGAGATTTCGTTTATCTATCTGAAATAGTACTCAAGTTTCCGGTAATTGGAAATTACTGAAAAGTTTGATGCGGATCTACAACTTTGATATAATACTTATTTATGAAATTTCATCAACCTAGCTGTAACGGTGCTTATGTTATCGTGTTTACAGACACACACACACACACACATACACACACAGAGAAATACGGACAAGATTGCAAAAGTATGTTTTTCCGACTCAGGTTGAAGTAAAACGTCGAGATTTGCAATATTTACTCTTTACTTCGTATACGAGAAAGTAAAAAAAATGATGTTATATGTAAAAACATACTCGAGTGTAGCCGTGTTTAATCTCGAAAAACAACTTCTTATATATCAGTTTCATATTTAACACACACAAACATTGTATTTTTATTTTTATCACATTAAACGTACATAAATTATATATTACACATAAAGTTCTAATACAGAGAAGTAAAAATGTACATAAAAATACAGTTATATGTTTATTTAAATCAAATAGAACAATAATTGGTGATCACATTAAATTATATGAATGTGTATAATGTTAACTAAACAAATAACATATAAACCATTTAAGTAGGTGTATACATGTAGTCTTCACACATAGTACGTTGATTGCGTGTATTTAACATGTTGGTTACATATTTTATTTTTGAGAATTTACCATCCACCATGTTTTGTGTTGTACTTCTATAAACTAACGATAGTAAAACTACTGTAGCCGGATAAAGCTGCGTCTTGATCTGCTTCCACCACTTTAAAGTAAAGTTCTTGACCTTTCTTCATGTCAACAACCACTGACCCAGCAGCGCTAGTGTCGACACATTTCACTTCTACAGACATACACCACACGCCTCCAGCCCACACAGCAACTATAATCTGTTTGTATTCATATTCATGTAGAGTGACACAGACAAGATATAAACCATCATGTGGTGATACAAATGTTCCTGTTGTTCGATTAAAATGTTGACCGCCATATTCATGTACTTCACTAAATGTTGAAATAGTTGATCCAGCACTGACATGTGTGGCATCAGCAAGCTCCACATAACAAGCATATCTGTTACATACACGTGACTCTGTTGATTAGAAAACATGCGTTCGATGTACATGTTCAATTTTACGAATGCTCTGACTATTTGATCCATAATATTTGTAAATTGTCGTTTCTTTAGCTTATGTTATCATCTCATTATATGTGTTTTGTATGAAGTTTATAATGTAAGTAAAATTGACAAACCCAAATCAAACAATTAATTTTCAAATAATAAACTATGTAAATAATCTATAATGTTTACATAACTTTGTGAAAGACCATACATTGAAACACTACACCACTAAATTAGTACGGTCCTTAGTTTGTGTGGTGTTAGGTTATCGTTTCCTACGTATTGACACTACCAGTTTAGTAGGTCAATTAAAACCTCACAAAACGTACAACACATGTTATATACGATATGCTAAAACCGGGTCTACGACAAATTCCTGAAATACACTTGCCCAAATGCCGTTTGCCCCAAGGCCGATTTCCCGAACGGACACTTTCCCAAATGCGACAAATATCCGAATGGGCATTTGTTAATATCAAATAGACATTCTTAATCAATTCAAGTTTGACATTTTGATAACACAATTCTGGGCATAAAAAACAAATTTGTTTATAATACACAAAATGAGAATCATTTTAAAAACCTCAGATAAGCGAAAATTATATTTTCGTCTTGTTTTATAGATAGCAAAAGATGTAGGCCCTACACTTTTTATAATATAGCAAATACTAATTAATTCATAATGCCTGCTTGCAGATATTAAATAGTATTTTGTTCCCTTTCAATTTGGTTAGACATTTATTTAATTATCAACATTTCAAATTTAAATTTATTAAAAATGACTTTTGGTAATCAGTAATGTTCACATTTTTCGGGCGAACGGCTTTCGGGCAAATGGCTTTTGGGCATTGTCGCATTCGGGCAAGTGTCTTTTGGGAAATCGTCCGGCTCTCATTATAATCATGCAGTCCGTATGTGTTCACATTATAGTTTAAATATATATGGCTTATCTATCGAAACAAAAATTACTAGAACTAAAGTTGTTCTGTTGTAGGCCTACTTAATAATGACCGATCACAAGATTTGCACAGTCAGCATTTTGTAATGTTCATTTCAGTTTACAGCAAATTAATTAGATACTAAGATGTTAAAAATGTATAATTATCAATGTTTTCAGGTTATAACTTTCTTTTTTATATTTCAGATCTGGCTCGTATGTGAAAACTTCTTAATATAAAGGGATGACGTGACGTTAATTGAAATTAGTTAATTTTAAACTGCAGCTCTGTATATGTCTTACTGTACTAGGGTAGACCGATGTACGTCCGTGTAATAGAAATGCAGAGAGTAAGAGATTTAGAGAGAGCGTGAGAGTGGGCGGTAAACAAACGTATAAAACATTTTACCGATTGGTTATCATTGAGAATTATTTGATATCTTTTACTATTCCTACATTTAAACGAGGAAATCAATAGATAAACTTGTCATAAAATCACTATTGTTATATTAATAAGTTTTAAAAACTTTTTTTTTACAAAGCAAACTTACCTATCAGATGAAAATCGTTAGACAACTTTGAAATAGTATTTTCAAGTTCACCCAGCTAAATTAAAATAAAGTGTAAAGGGAATAAATGAAACAATCACATATCTACTGACTCACTAGCTTCAATAGATAATGGTAACTTTTAAGAAAAGGAAATGATTTATTGTATATTCTTATTTAATTAATAAACTATTTATTAGTGAATTCCCAAAAATTATGGACATTACTGGAGTAATTTAGGATTTATCAATGTTGCAAATGATTTTTTATACAGTATTACAAACATACCTTATTTAATTTTTCTTCCCTAGTTTCAAAGTTCTTGTTAAAGATTTGAATCAGTTTGTCAATGGGCATCAATCTTTGTTGTAGGAGTTTATACATTACATTGTGCTAAATTGAAGATTTATATATTTAACTATTTTTGTTGCATATTAAAACTCACATACAATTAGCATTTATATAAAAGTTATGATTATAGGTTAAATTAGTCAACTGCCCCTTTTAACAATTTGAAGTAAATTGAATTGCAAGTAAGAATAGAACTGTGTACAAAAAATACAGCAATTTTAAAATTTACCTTTGATTGTAACTTTTCAAATTGGGTTGATGTTTTGTCCAAGATTTTATTATTTTCATCTTGTAAAGAAACAATCAAATCAGATTGGCTTTTAATTCCTTCTTTCATACTGTCCCTTATATCTTGCATGTTTTTGTTTATTTCGCGCACTTTGTTTTCATATTCTTTCATATCTAGAGACAGTTTCTCTAGTGTTTTGTTTGACTTGGATTCTTTTTTTTTTAAACTTTCAATTTCTTTGTTCAGCTCCTTTACTTTGTTATCTTGTTCACTCATTTGTTTTCTGAGGTTTTTAAAATTCTGCTTTTGTTTTTTAGTCAGTTGTTCAATGTTTACCCCCATGTCACTCTGTTCTGTTACAAAGTTATCTCTCCATTGTTTTATTTCTGATATGTCATCTGTAGACTTGTGTTGTGTGTCCTGTAGTGAAGATAGTGTTGTTTCAATATAGGAGAGTCTTCGCTCTAGGTCAGGATGTTCTTCAACTGAAAATAGTCGCACATATACAATTTATGATTTTAAAGGAATTAAATGTTGAAAAATAGGATCTTTGAAAAAGAAAACACAACAAAATTAATTTTTTTTTTAATTTAAACAGTATCAAACCGTACAAGCTTTAACATTGTATACGGCTTACAATGCAGCTACTTAACTCGTTATACCAAACAAAACTAAGACATACCCGCTGTATGTTGAACTTGTGTCTTGAGTTGTCTTGTTGATTCTCCTGTTAGAAATGTTGCTGTTGTCTGTGTGTCAGGCTGTGGTAAAGATGGCGTTGGTTTGTTGACATCCTTGTTGTCTTCATCTGGTGGATTAGAGTTTAGAATTTTATATTAGTTACAGTTTAAGGGATAATGTTTAATTGTACATACAATTTTTTAATTTTTACAATAATTTTTTTTCAAATTTAGGAACTAATAGTAATTTATTTTAAATTGAAATAAGAAGTGAATACCGAATTATAAATTGAAAGTGTAACATTAATTTTTATCCAAATCGTTTAAAGAAAAATCATATAACATGCTATTAAGTTATTGCTATCTAACTGTCTTTATGAATAAATAAAGTATAACAGTTGATTTTAAATTCTACATGTTAATCATATTTTAAGTTATAAATGTTAATTATGTGTTAGTTTGTTCCTATATGTCAATCTCTAAGAAAATAAAACGTAGTGTAATAGTGGATCCAGAGTGAAAATAAATCCCTTAACAATGGTGTGTCCCATTTGTTTTAGTTAAATTGTAAGAGAGATTCTTTGCATTTTTCTCAAACAAAACTTTTAGGCTAAATGACAGCAGGCTTAGATATTTTAAATTATAAAGTGAATTAAAAAAACTGACCTGAAATATGTGACGTCACATCCAACAAGGCCGTGGCTGCTGTGTCCAGTTCTTGTGATAGCTCGATGTAGCTGACAGATGATTGGTCAGTTTTTTCTTCTAGCCACGCCTTACTTTTTGTAACAACCTGGTGATCACAAACGTAAACATTATTTTAACTGGCGAGGTTTTGTATGGCTGTTTTATGAGAAAATGTCAAACGTAAAACACTTTCTACCGTCTAAATGTTACTTTGTTGGTTTTCAAATATTAACAAGTATATTAAGTTTAAATTTCTCTTTATATATATATATATATATATATATATATATATATATATATATATATATATATATATATATATATATATATATATATATATATATATATATATATATATATATATATATATATAATTAGCTTTATTTTACTTTTGGTAAATGTGTTCTGAGAATTTTTTTAAAAAATAGTGTTATAACAGAAGAGCGTTATAAAATTACCAGTTGATTTAAAATGTTTTTAATGTTTTTATCTTACATTTTTCATAAGTTCAATGGTAGTTTCCAGAACTTGTATCTTTTCTTCCAAATATTTTATCTGTTTAGTAACAACCTTCACCTGAATTCGTGTAGGCATCTGGTTTAAAAAATCTTCACTTATTACATTGTTTTGCTAGTCTCATAAGTCAATGTGATAGATAACAGAGGACAGAGACTTTTGGTTTAATGCCAATCCTTAGTCTCTTTTGCTTTGGACGGACTTGTTGCAAGAATTCATATTTCATTGAACATAATTACAAAGGTAAAATAAGAGTAGCATGATGCATAATCGTGTTACGGTCGTTGATGCAGAGAGACAAGTGCAAATATCTGTAGATCTGAAGACACGTGCACTAGCACCTGTGCAAATATTTATGTACACCCTTCTCTCCCCTCCACCTACCGTATGATGGCTACAACACAGCAAAAATATATCAAGGTGTGACCCCAGAGTTGCAAGATATAGGTAGAAATAATTTTCTTTGCAGTTTATAACTAAACGAGTTGACCAACGACGTAGCATACGCCGCTATCGACAGTACACCACCCCCTGCCTCCCACCTAAACCCACCCCGCCCAGTGAAAGCAGCCCCTTAGTTTTAAATCGTTTAATGCTAAATTATCTGCCCCTAATAGCCGTCACTAACCTGGCTCTACGATTGTAAACATTCGGAGTGTACTAGAGCTTACCAGAAAGGTGGAGATGGAGGTGGTGGCTAAGCTGTGTGGTGTTGTCTATGGTCCCCATGAAGAGAATTATATATATAGATATAATGATTTAAATACACATCTACATAGAAAAAATGTAAAGTAATTTGTTTGGTTATTTTTTAAGATTTTATCGGATCATTTTTCTTTATGGATACTTTTATTGAGGGGAGGGGCGTTGTCCAGAATTTTTTCGCGAGTATTTGTAAGCAGATAGGACTGGTGTCGAAGTAGATACTTGAAGTGATGATATTTTAAACGTGTTAACAATGTAAACAACTACCTCAGTTTGGTTACTGCCTGTGTTTGAAAACATAAAATACATAACACTTTAACAACGTATCGAAACTTGTCAAATGTTGTCTAATTGGCTTAAACTGAAATGAAATTACAAACCATAATAAAATGACAATAATCACACCGATAGTTTTACAACACTTTCTCACACGAATTATATTTTTAAAGCATTCATTGCAGCTGTTACCCTCTCTACGAAACGCTTTTTTATTTTTTTCATTAAATAATTATCTTTTAAAGCTGTTAAACTATAAAAATAATTGTTTTGTATTTATATGCTACCTCATTAAAACTAGAACGGCGAAACTGAAAGTTCTTAACGGAAAAATCCGCTACTATAAATATGTCATCCACCAGGTTATAAAGATGGCGACAACACAAGACACGTACTAGAGCTGCTGTCTTGTCTTCAACTAAAACATTTAATTTAGGTAACACACAAAGATTAAACACACTACCTTATTATATAATTATCTGTAGTGAGTGTCATTTTAATGTTTTTATACTATCTCAAACGAAATAGAAATTAACGTACATTTTAAAATTATATAAAAAAAATATTACGCTTCATAAACATATTATTTATATTTTTAATAAATAAAACATACACTTTATTACATTTTTCTTTGTTTATTGTTATCAGTAATGTATACATATTTATTTAATGGTATGTAAATTATATGTTTACACTTACTTCAAAGATAACTGCAGGAAATTTTACATCTAAAATCGTTCTGCAAACATTCGACAACTGCTACGCTGGTCATGAAACCGAAATAACTGAACGGGAAATCCCGGTATTATCTAAAGAGTTGACGTCACGTTCCAAGGGACAGAACTGTCGCTGTTCACATTTATCTCGCTAGAACTCTTTAACTCACAATATAGAGGAGTGGAACTATCATAACGAAATACGGGGGGGGGGGGGGGGGCATATTCCAACCGAAAACAACAAATATATTTTGTACATCTTTTTTTAACATATCTACTACAGCAGTGGTTGTTCTTCAGTATGTAGCACATACTGTCGCATAGAGAAAAATCTAGATTAGCTATTAATTAGCTACTAAGTTTAGCAAAACTTCAAACCACTTCCATAACTTATCACTCCGCTTTAAAAAGTATAATAGGGGTGTCAAAAGTTATGTGTCTAGTTTTGTACTAAACAAATAGCTATTTCTTTAATCAATACCATTTAAATAAGAAACAATAAAGACTGAAAAAGACAGGAAAATGGTATTTGTTTTACATCTTTTAGTTACTAAAGCTTTTATTAGAGAAAGCAAAGTAATTTTATATTTTAATTTTTTTTGAAAACGGCCGGGTGAAAAAAGGTCTTCTTGCCTACCGCTGTTAACCTTATTGTGAACCCAATATGTGATGTTTTATTGTAAACCCCAACAGTTGATGTTTTATTGTGAACCCCGCATGTTGATGTTTTATTACGACTGTAAGCAGATCAGACATTAGGGAATGTTCTGGTAGATGCTAACTATAGTTGTTCATTCCACAAGTAGAGGCTGACTTCACCTAGGAAAATAAAGCATACAAAATATAGACATTATTTCCAACAATTATTTAAACTTCACCTTGCGTGTCCCATTTTATGATTAATTACATTAAGATATTCTGTCAGTAATTCGCTGAAATAAGAAAACTTATTTTAATTATATCACTTTGTATTTATGCACTACCCTGCTCACCAACATTAAATCAGATCCGTCCTATAAACACCAACCTAGTGACCATCATACACATTAATCTTGTTGAGTTTTTTCCTACCTACACTGTTAAATGTGAAACAGAGACATTTTTTAAAGTCGCATCTTTACATATAACGTGTTAAGACAACTCTGATTAGCTATAATAGTTCTTGGTGTTAATTTATTGTGCTGGATACAACTAACTAAGCTATTTTTAGCTTATTTTGTCTTGGTTATCACAAAAACTAATTATTGCTAAAATACAGTATATCCTACACATTGTCTATGTAAATGCAAATGGACTGGTTGGTTCATCTATATGTTTTGATATTAACATATCTAATTATAAAGAGTATATTCCAACAACACAGTTATCATTAAAATAAATTAGTTTATATTTTCATACAGATGGCCGTATCGATTCCTATAAAGGAGCAATTAGCTCAACTGTTGAATAATCTGGAGGAGATGAATAGTTTGTTGAAAAATAATTTAAGTGACTTTGATCAGCAGGTAAGCACATCGCATATAGCGATGTATTCACATGACTTTAACTTATCTAGAATATTATTAAGCTGCTTAAGAAATACAAACGCCAAAGCTTTTTACTTGGAGCTATTTATTGATGCAAATAATTTGCTAATGAGTGATATGAAATTTCATTTTCCATCCACATTCCTTTTGTAAATAGATTTATACATGGTAGTAGAATTACTTAAAACACCCAATACAACAATAATTAGTATTTCGTCTTTCCATTTTTTTTGCTTTTAAATTTATTAGCACCTAAATGTTTAAATATTCCAATCATCGTGTATGTTAAGTCATGTCTGGTACCTAAATGTTTAAATATTCCGAGCCTCCTCTATGGTATGTCATGTCTAGCATCTCAATGTTTTAATATTTCAATCCTCGTCTATGTTATGTCATGTCTAGCATCTCAATGTTTAAATATTTCAATCCTCGTCTATGTTATGTCATGTCTAGCATCTCAATGTTTAAATATTTCAATCCTCGTCTATGTTATGTCATGTCTAGCATCTCAATGTTTAAATATTTCAATCCTCGTCTATGTTATGTCATGTCTAGCATCTCAATGTTTAAATATTTCAATCCTCGTCTATGTTATGTCATGTCTAGCATCTCAATGTTTAAATATTTCAATCCATTTCTCTGTTATCCTATGACCAGGTAAAACAAGCAACACTTGAATGGTTGGACAATCCCCCAGATGCGAAAATAGATTTTAAAGAAGTGGTTGCTATGGTAACAACAGTAAATACTGCCCTACTTGAACTTAAACAAACGATTTCTGGTAATATTATAACACTTAGTAGAGGTTTACATTTTATTTTTAAATATTTCGTTGGATTATTAATTTATAACGATAATATTCGACATATGTCAAATAAAAAGATACATCACTAAACTTTATATATTATACATATTTTTTTTCCATAGACTACGTCGTGCATTTAAAATTATTTATCCTATGTATTGTAATAACATCTTAATTTGTAAAATTATTGTATGTTTTCTATAATTCAAAATATACTCATTGGAAAGAAAACGTATCGTTTAAAAGCCGTTGATTTTTATATTTTAGAGTGTGTGCTTTTAAAAACATTTATAATGCATTCCAAATATTTTTACATTTTACTATTGTAAATCAAATCCTTAAACCATATTTGTTCCACATGTCTGAAAGTTTCCTGCACCAAGTATCAAACAATGGCTGCTGCAGATAAGACAACACAAGAGAATAAAAGTGTTGACTCTGTACACGATGTAAATTATTCTGATCTTTCTATGTCAGGTAAAACTTTTATTTAGCTTAGCGAAAATTTAAAAAAAAGTAAATAATTGTTAAACGTTATTGTGGTACGTTACGTAATTTTATTATAAATAAACACACACACACACACACACACACAAACACACACACACACACACACACATATATATATATATATATATATATATATATATATATATATATATATATATATATATATATATATATATATATATATATATATATATATATATATATGGTTCCATGACAAATGATCTCAGGACAAATTATCTCAGGCAAAATATCTCAGACAAAATATCTCACGGACAAATGATCCCAGGACAAATGATCTCAGGACAAATGATCTCAAGGACAAATGATTTCACGGACAAAAGTACCAGGACAAAATATATCAGGACAAATGATATCATGGACAAATGATCTCAGACAAAATATCTCACAGCAAAAATTTATTAGTATGTACGATGATTTTAGTTGATTTGAACTTTTTTTTTAATTGACTATCAATATGGTTTTGTTTACTCTTTTTACGCATAATTATTGATTGTTATAAAATGAATTTGTTAAACTTAACAAACAAATGTGTATGGGTCTTCAGGTTCGTAACTTAAAACTGTTGTTTTTACTGCATCATCAACACAAAAATAAAGTTTACGTTACTTTGCTGGCAGGTAGGCCTACATCGTTATGATCACACATTTCCAATACTATGTGATCATGTATTGTGTGAGTTTTCGGTGTAGCCTACATGTTCTTACTTGACATTTCCAAATCTCTTTGCCTGCTGCTCTACTTATGGCTTTTATAAACAGAAATTCATTAGAAACTAATGCCCTATACTATACCCTATCTGCGAGGTAGCAAAAGAGGCCTTAGCTGAGTAATCACCACTGTAACTGCTTTGTTCGCATGTACGCTACGACAAACTTCGCTCCGCGATGACCGCTGTCGTGTAAATAAGCATTTGTCACCAGTTCACTAAGGTGTGACCGACGCATAACAATTGACTTTGGATGCTAGATGTATTGTCCATGGAGGGCGGATGTCTTTCAAATAAGGCATGTCTCTGCCATCAAAGCGGGCGGCCACCTTGATTCGAAGGTGTGTCTTTATTGATATTTCATTCTCTTTGATCTAGTTTCGTCCACCTGACGTGGTAGGATTGTTTCATGTTTGGCAAGCACACCTACAAATTCTTTAATCTTCGCATACTATATTAGTAATCTTAATTTTAAAATGCTTGGTACAATATGGCAAATTTATACGGAAAACATTTCTTACAATTATTATATAGGCCTATAAACAATATTAAACATAGTAAACAAAACCATATGACAGTCAATAACAAAATTGTTCAGTTCAAATAAAATTATCCAATACACTTTTAAAATTTTGCTGTGAGATATTTTGTCTGAGATATTTTGTCTGATATCGTTTGTCCATGATATCTTTTGTCCTGATATATTTTGTCCTGGTATCTTTTGTCCGTGAGATCATTTGTCCTTGAGATCATTTGTCCTGAGATCATTTGTCCGTGAGATATTTTCTCTGAGATATTTTGTCTGAGATCATTTGTCCTGAGATCATTTGTCCTGTCACCATATATATATATATATATATATATATATATATATATATATATATATATATATATATATATATATATATATATACAGCAATGCACCACTGCTTCATTGCATGCATTAGAATATGTTAACATAAACACATTTAACAAGTTGCAGCTGATTTAAGTAACAAACTAGAACAGAGAGTAGAACGTCTTGAAACAGCGCTAACTTCTATGCAAAGTAGGAATAAAAAAACTGAAGCTGACGTGACCGAAATTAAGCAATGGTGGGACACTTATAAAACAGAAGAAAGTAATGTGAAGGAACACATAGAACAATTGGCTATAAAACAAAAACATAATGCTAAGCAATTCCGAAAGCAAATTAACGAACAGAAACATATAACGGATAAGATGAATGAAGAAATGAAACAATTGAATGAAATAAAACAATGGAGGAAAACACTTATATCAGAACATAACACTATGGCGAAAAAACTGGAAGAATTATCTAAGACACTAACAGATAATAAAGAAAAGACTAAAGAGCAAATACAAGATTCCCAAACCAGAATAAATGAGTTGAATACAGAAATTACGACCCTCAAAGAAAAAGAATCAAATACAAGCCAAGCTCTAGAAAGAACGAATACAGAGATGAACAAGTTTGACATGATATTGAACAAAATAAATGAAGAATTAGAAAACCAAACTACTAAGACAGAGAAATTTCAAAAAGAAATTAAAAGTCATTCCGATGTTATTTCTCACTTAAGGGAAGACGGAAATAAAAACAAAAATACGGAAATCAAAGTAGAAAAGTTAATGTCAATGGTTTGTACCTATTTTACGATTTGAACACATAGAATATTTTATTAAATGGATTTAATATTTGGTATTATGTTAGTTAATGCATACGCAGTTCAGCTGCAAACCTTCTAACATGCATTTTGTTTCGATTTCATTTGGGAAATAATTAAAGACAACATGATTTTATCATTCTACTCCCTAGCTTAGCGTCCCATCCAAGATCTTACAACAAAGATTGATGCCTGTTGAAAATTTAATTCAATCTTTTAATCAAAACTTGGCAAATAGGGAGAAGTGCAAACAAAAGGTAACAAGTTTACTACCTAATGCAATTGGTCCCTTTGAGAGTCTACAAAACCCATGTATCCACGTGTGACAGGAGTATTGCTTGAGACCGATATAAACATAGAAACAAAGTGGTTTTCTTTGTTTGGTAGACACAATTATAAATTTAAAAATGCATCTCTTATGTTCATTTTTTAAAATTTTGTAATAAGCCAAAAATAGTTTTGAAATGATGAGATGTTATCTTTTGTTTTTAGTTTGCAGCCTTAGAAAATGATGTTTCAAAATTGTCAAATGATGTAGATTCCATTAGTAAGTATTTTAACATTAACTCATTTTATTATAATTATAAATACCCTGCATAACTTATGTTTCACGTATAAGCATCTTTAAAAATGTAATAGCGTAAAACCAAGATCGTTTTAAATAGATACTAGTAACCTATGTTTAGTTTTAACAGAATAACACAATTTTAAAAATGACCTATTTTGTTTACTGATGTAAGTTTTTTCACGTGCTATATTTTTTAGTAGTCAAGTGCCTTTTTTAAAAGGACAACAACCGTTCAGTTATTTGAATGCTGAATGTTTTTGATAAATGGATACGTAAGAAATGTATCAAAAATAATTAAAGCATGAAGTACTAGGTCATATGCATATTTACATGATCAGTAGTATAGGACACATTGTTTTAAAACGGCCTAACAATATAAGAGTTTAAGGAGGGCTAATGTCTAGATAGAACACAGTAAGTGGGCTGGGCAGGAGAATGAAGCTTCAAACATGAACAGTTCCTGCAACACAGAGAAATTATATAACACATTTATTACAATACTCGCAGAAACACACAAGCAAACACATACACTTACATAAATAGAAAACACGGCACATAAAACCAGTCATCACTCAAACCGTATGTTTGAACATATTATGAAATCTTATGTTTCGGTCGTGTTGCTGCTAATAAAAAAAAACTATAATAATTATAGTTTTTTTTTAATTAGCAGCAACACGACCGAAACATAAGATTGAATGATACTCGAACCCCCCCCCCCCATCCTGCCGTGTTTCAACTAAAGATTAATTTAAACGAGACTAGTATGCAATATAAAACACAATATAATGTGGACACTTAGTATAGCAGTAATAAACATGAGTGTATAATTTTAATTAATGTTATTCAGAACGTATGTTAAAAAAACAGGACAAGAAATGAAAACCCACTCAACTCTACAAGATGAAGGGACGAAAAAGCTGGCCAAAACTACAGATATGTTAGTAGCTTTAACTACAAAGGTATCCTTTTATCAGTTAAGATTTGTATATTATTTTCTATATTTAACTACTGATGCTTATTTTATTTTTCTTAAAATAATGTGAAATATAAAATACTTTTCAGACCAATTACTTTGAATATTATTATGTGTTCTCTTTAAATAAAAATAGGGTAGTTACTATTTTAAGGATGTAAGACAATTATGTTTCACATGTGTGATTTTTTGTACGAACATAATTTCTGATGCAATAACTTGTAAAGTGTACACACATTTTAGGTTGAAACTCGCGAAAGTGATGTTTTAACTCTGTTGAAAGATTTCAAGACAATTGGTAAGTTAAATAATAAATGTGATGGGGGGTTTATGTGTGTATTGTATATAAGCTATATATTGTGACTTATATTATTCATACTGCAACTATACACATGTATGAAGGACGGGATCACTCTAAATTTCCGCAGACACTAATTAAAGATATCAACAACTTGGAGTATAAAAAAGAATTAACTTTATCACACACCTATAGATACATTACACAATATCAAAACACGTCCGTCGTCTACTATAGCTAACTACCAACAAACTTCATTGATGCGTCTTACGTCATCGGTACATTGTCACGTCATGCTCACGCCACAAATGTTTTATTGAACACGCACACAATACTCTCGAACCAAATAGTCAACCGTCAAGTTCACATCGTCCTTAGTAACCTCTACAAGTCTAGTCTAAATCTATCTATCTAGCCATGACAGTAAACATACACATAACTAGGCATGCTGCCCAGCTTCGCTTAGGCTTTCGAAAACATTGAGAATTTGCATGCTTAATTAATTCGCCCGAGGGTCGGTCTACGACCTCAAGAGTTATGAAGAGGTTTAATCCGTGGACATTTTTTTTCGATTTATAGCTCATATAAGGTACCGGTCAGTCGAGGTCAGTTTTGACCCCCTCATCGTAGACTTTTCGGCCAAACGGCCCCCGTGTTCTGTCGCCCCAAGGCAAGATCCTGCCAAATTTGAAGCGCCTGCGGCGCCGGGAAGTGCCCTATCGGACACCCGACGATCTAGATCTAGATCTAGATTCCTAAAAGAATTTTTTTTTAAGTTTAGCCCGAGCATAATAAAAATAAATACATTAACCAAGTTGACTTGGTGTGTCTCGAACCCGCACCACCTGCGTGGTTTAATGTACACTAACATCTTCGCTATTTAGGCAGATGACGTCAATAGTTAATGTATAAGCAATAGTGACGTCACAGTTTTATGCGTTCTTTTTCACATATATTAATACTTTTCCGGTTGCATAAATAATACTGTTTCTCTACATTCGAATACGCCTTAAATTTTTATTTTTCTTCTTTAAATAAAATTGTGGTTATACATTTAAAACATCTAACATATTATTTTCAACAAAAGTCCGTAAAAAATTCTCGATATATCGCTGCCGATTCTGACGTGATGTCCGGCGAAAATTTTTTGCGGACAGAGAAAGAGAGAGAGAGAGAGAGAGATGTGCGCACATTGGGCTTTTATAAATTAGGATTGTGAACAGACACACAGACACGTGTGCAAAAGTTCATGATTAAACTCTAACTTATACTTTCCAACAGAGACCCGGGTATGTCAGCCTTACATCTGTCAAATTAACCTGGAAAACGACACAGCAGTAACTACTGGATCAACTCTGTCTACATTCTATTACGTGGGCGAATCTAACGGCAACCATTTTAATAGAACCACAGGGAAACTTGTGGTACCAGATGATGGTACATATCTTGTGATTGTAACGCTGCAGGAATGTGAGGATAAACTGATTAGAATTGATTTGTACAGGGATGACGCATTGTGTAAGGAAATTCTTGTCAAATCAGCCAACACATCTGCCGCTGGATCAACTGTTGTAGACGTGAAGAAAGGCCAAGAACTTTACTTTAAAGTGGTCCAAGTTGATGATGGAGCCAAGCTACAAGGAGGAAGTGGATTTACTATAATTAGATTGTAAATTTAATCACGCTTATGAAATAAGTAGTTTATCATTTATTTCACACCACATCATTTTCGATTGTTTTTAATTATCCAATGTTCTTATATTATATGCATGTGCATATCGTTTCAATAGGTAAGTTTCGCTGTTTCTGGCAGTCATATAATAGAGAAATGTGTGAACATAGTGAATTATAGTCTACACTTCATTTTTGGAAAACAAATGGTTTGGTTTTTTTCGGTTGCATTTTAAAATACATACAATTAACCATACAAAGAGTTTTTTATGAGTGTTCTAACATAAATTAATGTTAAGGCAATATAACGTAGCTATGCTTCGCAGGCTATTTTGAAATGAACATATATGCTACATCGTAAAATATTATGTCTTGTCAATTCAGTACGTTGATGTAACATATGTTTGTCGCATATAGCTTGCAGCATCACTTTCTGTCATGGTTTAGTCATGTCAAGATTTAAAGATGTACATGAATTTACGGTCAAAACTGTAATCGAACAACAAGATAGTTTATTTAAGTATACGAGAAAGTAAAAATTGTCCAATTAATGCAATTGGAAAATATTGTTTTTTTTTAATAGACTAGTTTTTAATAAGTTTCAGTAGTTTTTTTACAAGCTATAGAACGTTTAGGATTTGGGTTAGTACAAAAGTAATACATTAATATGTGTAGTGATAAACGCATACATAAGTTGCAGAAAGGTTATTTTAATACGTACTAATACTAAGAAAAAATAAATAAAACAGGAGTGACCTCCCCTAAAAATTAACGGTATATTCGTATATTACCTTATGTCGGAAGGCACTCTGAGTGCAATCGGGCGTTAGAAATGTTTTTTAAAAGAAATTTAAATAATTACAGTGTGATTGTACCATTAAGGTGCATTAGCTCAACTATCTAGTCTGTGATAAGTTAGATGTCTAAAGTTTATCTATCACTAACTTTAGGTTTGTTAATGTAAACTTACATTTGACTGAATAAATAATCCTAAGTTCTGTGCTGTTTTGCACTTGATTTATTCACTCTATTTCCAATATAGTAACTGTGGCTCCTCTCAAACAACAAATTGTAGCTAAGATGTGGTGATGCCTGTTTTATGTGTACTTTGTACTGACTCATTCTTTGGCTTAAATTCTAATCATTTATCTTAGTTTAATATAAACATATTGAACATCATATCGTATTATCATGCAATCATTGTCTTGTTTTATCACTTATATCTGCTATAGTTCAGTTATGATCAAATCAAACATTGTGGATAGACTGTTTATAAACTAAACTTGTTGTATGTCAGTGATACATTTCTCTGCATTACACAAAGTCAGCGTAGAGTAAATAACAAGCAAATAAGGTGAATGAAATATAAACCTAGCCCTATTAAAATCTCAGTAGACGCCCATGTTTATGACGGGCCATTGATATGAAAATCATAAGTGTTCTCTTCACGCTGATCATTTCATGTTTTCACAACCAAGAAATCCACCCACCTTCTTGAATATATGTGTTAGTTAGTGTAGTGCTCAGCACATATTTGAGACTGAAGAAGTTGACATTCTATTAGGATATGGTTTTTGATATGTTTGCTTATCATCCGTCTATAGTGAAGATAGGTTTCATACACATACTATTGCTAAAAGCGATACCACTTTAACTAGGTTTTTCTACAACACATGAGAGAGTAATAGATGTTAACCAATATACAATTAGAACCAAATTTTATTAGGCTCACCATGAATAATAAAAAAATATATATTTCCAATACAAACATAAAGGTTACATTTGCAAAATGCAATTATATGTATCAGGTATAGAATAAAATTTATGATAGTCAGATCAGTTTTACTGCGTCCATGTTTAATTAGTTTCTTATTTAAAACTCAATAATATTAAAAATATACATTCTTAATAATAAAAGCAGTAAAAATAATGCTAGATAGAGTTATAAAACAGTCATTTTATCTTCAGTGTATAAAGTAAATGATCATCATCATACCTAGCGATCCATTAGGCAGACAAAGTAGAGTTCTTGTGTTTCTTGACCTCGGCATATGTAAAAATGTTTTAATTATAGAGTTAGGTGGACACCAGAGCTAAGCGGAATCAAGGACGCTGAACTTGCTGGATCCAGATTCATCGGTAAATTGTCGCGTCATGCTCATGTCACACTCACGCCACAAATATTTTATTGAACTACTGGATCGATTCTTTCAACATTTTTCTGTGTGTGGGAACCTAACGGCAACCATTTTAATAAAACCACAGGAAAACTTGTAGCACCAGATGAACGTGAGGATAAACTGATTAAAATTAGTGTGTAAAGGGGGTGATACATGTTTTAAGAGCATTCGTGTTAACTCTGCCAACACATCTGCCGCTGGATCAACTGTTGTAGACATGAAGAAAGGCCAAGAACTTTATTTTAAAGTGAACGAAGCTGATGATGGAGCCAATCTACAAGGAGGAAGTGGCTTCACTATTATTAGATTGTAAATTTAATCATGCTTATGAAATAGGTAGTTTATCATTTATTTCACACCACATCATTTTCTATTATTTTTAATTATCCAATTTGTCTATATTGTATGCATGTGCATATCGTTTCAATAGGTATGCTTTCCTGTTACTGGCAGTCATAGTATAGAGAAATATGTGAACATACTGAATTATATTCTACACTTCATTTTATGAATACAAATGAATTGTGTTCTTTTTCGGTTGCATTTAAAGAACCATACAATTAAACATACAAAGAATGTGTTTGAGTGTTCTAACATAAATTAATGTAAAGAAAATATTAAGTAGCTATGCTTCGATTGTCCTTGTGAAATAAACATATACATTATAAAGTATTATGTCTTGTCAATGAGTACGTTTATGTAAAATAATATGCTTTTCGCATAAGTCAATGTGACAGAGACATTTGGTTTACTAACAATGGTTAAAGAGGATATGTTTAGTCTCTTATGCTTATGATATATGTGTTGTAATAATTTACGTTTCATTAAATATAATTACATTGTAAATAAAGTAGAATGACGTTTATCCGTGGTTGTTATGATCGTTGATGCAGAGATTTGATGTAAACTTTTGCAGACGTGTGTGTCTGTGAATTTGCATCTGTGAAAATATACATTGCCATCTCTCCGCACCCCCCCCCCCCCCCACTCTTTACCGCATGACTGGTACAATACAGGAATAAAATATCAAAGTGTGATACCAAGGTGTGATACCAAGGTGTGATACCAAGATGTGATACCAAGGTGTGATACCAAGGTGTGATACCAAGGTGTGATACCAAGGTGTGGTACCAAGGTGTGATACCTAGGTGTGATACAGAGGTGTGATACAAAGGTGTGATACCAAGTTGTGATAACAAGGTGTGATACAGAGGTGTGATACAAAGGTGTGATACCAAGTTGTGATAACAAGGTGTGATACCTAGGTGTGATACCTAGGTGTGATACAGAGGTGTGATACAAAGGTGTGATACCAAGTTGTGATACCAAGGTGTGATACCAAGGTGTGATACCTAGGTGTGATACAGAGGTGTGATACAAAGGTGTGATACCAAGTTGTGATAACAAGGTGTGATACCTAGGTGTGATACCTAGGTGTGATACAGAGGTGTGATACAAAGGTGTGATACCAAGTTGTGATAACAAGGTGTGATACCTAGGTGTGATACAGAGGTGTGATACAAAGGTGTGATACCAAGGTGTGATACAGAGGTGTGATACAAAGGTGTGATACAGAGGTGTGATACAAAGGTGTAATACAAAGGTGTGATACCAAGGTGTGATACCAAGGTGTGGTAAATTAATTTCAGCAGTTGTTTTACAAACTATGGAACACTAGCAGGATATGGGGTAGTAGGAAAGTAATATATTAATATTTGTAGTTATAAAATGTGTACATTCGTTGTAAAATGTTATTTTACTACATACTAATTCTTTCGGAAAAAATAAATAAATGAGGAATAATTTCCCTTAACATTAACTTTATATTCGTATATCACCCTAAGTCGCAAGGCACTTTCAGTGCAATCGGGCGTTAAAAAGTTTTTTAAAATTATTCTTAAATAATTGCATACAGTATATCAGTATAATTGTATTAGATCAACTATCTAGTCTGTGATAAGTCATTTGTCTAAAGTTTATCTATCACTAGCTTTAGGTTTGCTTAATGTAAACTTACATTTGACTGAATAATCATAAAGTCTAAGCTGTTTAACACTTGATTTATTCACTCTAGTTCCAATACACTAACAAATTGTGACTCGACTTAATCAACAATGTGTGAAGTCATGAACACAAGTTGCAGCTACCACTTAGAGATGCCTGTTGTATGTGTACTTTTTACTGACCCTTCTTTTGGCTTAATTTCAAACCATTTATCTTAGTTCAAAACAACATGTAGCATCATATCGTGTTATCATGCAATCATTGAATTGTTTTATCACTTATATCTGTTCTAGTTTAGTTATGATCAAATCAAACAGTAGGTCTACATTACTGCCGATAGACTGTTTATAAACTAAATTGGTTGTATGTGAAGATAGGTTTCATACACATAATAATATTCTAAAAGCGATACCACTTTAACTAGGTTTTTCTACAACAAATGAGACAGCAATGGGTACAACCAATTTACAATTAGAGCAAAATTTTATTAGGCTCACCGTGAATAATAAAAAAAAATATTTCACAAACAAATAAAATGTTAAATTTGCAAAATATAATTATATGTATCAAGTATAGAGTAATATTTAATTTATTTATTTCTGCATCCATTTTTACGTGTTTTCTTATTTAGGTCTTAATAATATTACAAATATAGGCTACAGTCATAATATTATATGAAGTAAAAGTAATACTAGGTAGAGATATAAAACAGTCATGATATGTTCAGTGTATAAAGTAAATAATCCTCTTCACACCTAGCGATCCGTTTGGCAGATGAAGTAGAGTTCTTATGTTTCTTGACTTCGACATATAAAAAGAAGGTTTAGTTATAGGGTTAGGTGGACATCAGAGCTAAGGGGACACGGGGACGATAAACTTGCTGGATCCAGATTCTATCTTGAGACTTCGGAGTTAGCAGAACTTTTAGTCAATCGCATGGTCACGCCGTTACCTCTTCTTTGTATGAATTTCATTATAAGCTCATAGCGAGAATGTAGCCTTACGGTAATGATTTTTAATTATTGGTTTACAAATACAACTATATTTGTTAAGCTAAATTCTTAAAATAGTGAAACCTTTTCCTTTTTTGCAGGAAAGACCCGGGTCCTGATTATAGAACTTTAAAATATAGTTCTTGACCTTTCTTCATCGGAACTACAGTTGATCCGCAAGCAGAAATATTGTCAGGTTTCACAATAGCCAGATATAAACCATCATCTGGTGCTTCAAGTTTTCCTGTTGTTTCATTAAATGGCACCGTTGTGTTACCTCGGCACCATTACAATTTCCAATAAACGTTTTAACTGGGATACATTTTTCTAAAAGATAATCTAATCTTACAACATAGCTGCTTCATGTCGCATCAATGTAAAAGAAAATTTTAAGATAGAAGAAATTAAAATACATTACATTATAAGGGGAGCCGGACGTTTTCCTGAAAAACATTTGCCGATTTCCCAAACGGACACTTGCCCGAATGTAACAGTGTATTTTCAGTGTAATGATGTTGTATAGGTACTTGCTATTTTAATTTGTTTTAACAAAAAGCAGGTTTTACAATAAGCCACAAGCTAAAGTTACAACCGGTTGAATACGTTTGTTAATTAAATTAAAATATTTTGTAATTTTATTTCTTCTGTTGAAAATAATAAGCTTTTAGTTGAAGTGAAAATAAGAAAATAAACCAAACTTATTTCAATTAAAGCAATTATTGATAAAAATGTGTAGACTGTGATTTCCTGATCGATCATAGCAATTTTTATTTTTCGCTATTCAACTCATTTCAAAGATTATAATTATGTAAAATATATTTGGTTTAGTTGAAAACCCACACCCTACATCCATTTCTATATAA